GCATGGATATATGAGTACATACATGCAGCCGTATCTACCGTAGCGGTTATTGGCACGACGGCCAGAGGGAAACTCGTCCGAAATGGCTTGACTGAAGAGAACAAAAGGTTTTCTGCAGGTCATTCCCTGTTTCACTTCGTTTTTTTTCGACATTTCCCCCACTGTGTATCCCCCTGCTACCATTTTAGACCCAGTACCAAATTACGGTGCCACATGCCTTTGAGAGCGATGGGGCAACCGTGAGTGGATCTTCTTTGTGGAAGGAGCCTCCTCGGAAGAGGCCATATTGGTGGTGTCCCACGGTCTGAGTAGTGACATCGCCCGACAGTTGAATGATCTTGGGTAGCCTCGGCAGTTGTGATCGCCGCTAAGAAGAAAAGTAGTCTTCAAAGTTTATTCTAAAAAAACCTGACGTAGCAGCTGCAGCAGGAAAAAAGTGCTGGACAGCTGGCCGAGAACACAGATATCGACACACATAGTAAAACATGATTAAAAATTTGGGAATTTTTTGGAGAATTTACAAGGCACTAAATGTTAAGTGTTCCGCACACTATGGAGGAACTTAGCACTCATAGAGGAGAGAATGAACGGATGTTATGGTTTTCAACGGAAACGTTCTAAGGCCATGGGGTACGTGACAGGAGAATCGCAATTTGCCGCGCTTAATGGCGTCGCGTGCGACGCTTCAGCAAGGCGATGTTTCCAAGGTAGGAAGCGACAACAGGCAATGTAGAATCGAAAATAGTCACAGATAGTTCATAGCCGGTTCTCCAATCGACAGGATGGCGCGAGTTGAGAAAACGTCGCTTCCATCGCCGCGCGCGGCAGAGCGGCAAATTACGACCCTCTTGTCCGTCTTGCCGAGGCTATGGGTGAGTATTCGGAGGCGAAACTTTGTCCGGGTGCGTCAAATCAACACTGGCTGACAGTTCGTGAAAATGAGTGCTTATAGGCAACAACGGCGTCTTAGCCGTAGAGAAGAAAGAGACTTGCCAGCAGGGATGAGTTCATGGAATATCCTCGTTTTGGAAGGTGGTAAAGGTTTGTAAGGTGACGTTGCTGAAGTCCAGGTGAAATGGCGAAAATTTCGGGAGGGAGCAGAAATAAGCGGTCTTTCAATGGACGAACCGCTGTTGTGCCTTTAGGTTGCCGGTTTGTCAAAACAAATGCGGCTTTAAGAAAATCCATCATAAAAAGGATTGACGGAATCTCGTGGGAGTGGCAGCTCGACGCTGGATGAGAGTGAAGAAAAATGAGTGAACGTCGACCGACTTGCGAACAGCTGTGGTACTACTTCCCATGGTACTTCGAGATTCCTACATAACTTATCGAGGGGGCAGTCATAATTATATTGAAATATCAGTATCGGATATGAAGCTTTCGTTGATAAATCTGGCAATTATGGCAGTATTGGGTCGGCCCATACGCAATGGCGTTTTTTTCACTCTCGAAATATTTTTTTTTTCTTGAAGTTTCTCTTACGTCTACTAATATTTAAGTGCTCAAAGTGGAGTGTCAGGTCGACGAATGAGCATTTTCGATAGCCTCTCTTTTCTGCCTTTAATTAAAAGCTCAAAGCACAGGTCCAGTTGCTAAGCATACAGCTAAGAGGCTATGTCTAATAGAACTGCTTACAACGGTTCAACTTTTTCAGAGGTTTCGATTTCGACCTCACAGACAAGCATCGTTTCGATTTCGACCTCACAGACAAGCATCGAACCTAATGTCTTATTGAGTCCAACGGAGAGTTTACTATATCACCTCATTCAAGGAGATTTTTGCCAAAGAATGGGGAATCATTAGGGGTCATGAGAGGCTTCTTATCCATCATCAAGGCTTCCACCCGTCCGTTGATTTCGGTGTGGGGTTGGGGAGGTGGGGGGGGTGGACGGGTAGGTTCGGAGTCAGTAGGACGGGTTCTCCAAGCAGTTGCTCCTCCAAGAGGGCCCCATAGCGATACGCTTTTGCTATTTCCGATTCGGCAATCTCGCCGTAGCTTAACAAATTCGAGCTGTCAATAAGGAAGCATCTTCCCTTGGTCGTAGCATATCGAGGGCTCCCCAACTTTGTGATCATACACACCGCGAGGGGGGGGGGTACACAAGTGATTTGCCCGCGATGGAGGGGGGGGGGGGTCGCATGGCCCATGTTGAAGTGGAGAGAGCGGTGATACACGGTAAAAGTTAAAAGAAGCTCAAAAGGGACGATGTAGATGACAATAAATAGAACTAGGCACTATCGAACTATTCCTAGGCCAAGAACTAAAAAAATATTGCTGAAACTTTTTCCTCCTTCCTCACAAAAAACTTCAAGACACTTCGCCCACCAACTCCTCATCTGGTCTAGATAAATCCCAATCCACTAATCCGCAAAATCTAGAAAAGAATCCATTGCAAAAGCTACCTATGAAACCGTAGAAATTGAATCCTGAGCAATTTCCTCACAACAAAATCAAACTCAACAAAACAAAATCAACTCAACAAAACAAACAATCAAAATAATTCCAATCAATGGATAAAGAAAAAAAAAATCACGGGGAGGCCAGCTGGGAACCGGAACTATGGATTACTTTTGAATTTTGGCTGTTCGCGGTCAGCGCGCTCATACAAGCTCATTGGTGCGCGCTATTTTACGGCTGACGCTCAGTTTCAAGCCAAACACGTGAAAAGTACCCCTCATTTGAACACCCATAACTTCGTTGAAAGTGAAGCTATCGGAGAGGGGTAAGTGGGAATGAGTAGAGCTAGGTTGGCTCTTGTCACCTGAATTGAGCGATTTCAAAAACGTTCCGATTCCAGAGATTTTCCCCGTTGTGATCATCGTTGTGATCCTCTGTATTAATCATTTTGCGAACGCGCTTACGTTGCTTTGGTACGTCCCATGCAAGCTCACTAACACGGCTTTCGTAAGAAAAAGAATTGTGCCGGAAGCTTGAAGATTTCTACTTTCCAGCAAGGCTTTAATTTTCTTCCTAGGCCTGCTATTCGAAAAAAATTCCCCGTTGTGATCATTTCGTGACCACCCCCACCACACACGAAAAATCAGCCCCTCCGAGGCCATGAAACCTCCAGTTGGCTTGAAGACTTTGGTATGCTTCTAGGTGGTTCCACAAATTCCGAAATGGAGACTTCAACCTGGAAGATCAGGGACGCGGTCGGCCATCGGAAGTTAAAGACGACGAATTGAAGGCACAGATAGAAGCCAACCCAAGAGCATCCACAAGGGAAATTGCTGAAGAGCTGGGAGTTGACTTCGGAACTGTAGCACGTCATTTGAAGAAAATTGGGAAGGTAAAAAAACTTGACAAGTGGATCCCGCATGAGTTGACTGAGCACCAGCAATCTCGTCGTCTCGAAGTCTGTTCGTCTCATCTTTTGCGGAACAAAAACGATCCTTTTCTGCAACGCATTGTGACGTGTGACGAAAAATGGATTCAATACGACAATAGACGACGGTCAGGACAGTGGTTGGATCACGACGAAGCTCCTAAACATTTTCCAAAGCCGGAGTTGCACCAAAAAAAGGTCATGGTGACTGTTTGGTGGTCTACAGCCGGTTTGATCCACCACAGCTTCCTGGCTCCAGGAGAAACCATCACAGCGGAGAAGTACTGTGAGGAAATCGAAAAAATGCACCAAGAATTTAGCCGGCATTAATCAGCAGAAAGGGCGCGATCCTACTCCATGACAACGCCCGACCGCATGTTTCATTGATGACAACAAAAAAAACTGATGGAGTTGGGATATGAAACTCTCGACCATCCTCCATACTCACCAGACCTTTCCCCTACGGATTATCACTTTTTCAAGCATCTCGAAATTTTCTTACGCGAGAAATGCTTCCGAAACCAAGACGACGTAGAAAAGGCATTCAACGATTTCGTCGATTCCAGAACTCCAGAATTTTATGCTGCCGGAATATCTAAACTGCCTTCTCGTTGGCAGAAATGTGTTGATTCTTTTGGTCGTTATTTCGATTGAAAAGCAACACTTTGAAGCGAGTTATGATATTTCAAATATTTGCTTCAAAACGGTCACTATTTTTGCCGCGACCTAATAGCAGCCAAACCGGGCATGCACTCCAGAAAGGTTCTACTGTCCCGCCTCGGGATGCAAAGGGTAGGCTCTTGATGAGTTGCCCTTAAAAGAACATGCGAGGGGTCCACCGCTACCATTCGTGCCGCTCAACTCCAGAAACCCTCGGGAGCTGTTGGAGGAAAATGACCGAGACTAGCTTCGGCGACGTCAGACCTCACGCTGCTATGGAGACTTACTAAAAAATTTAGAAGCAAGGCTGGGGAACCATAACCCGCAAACCATATTCTGCTGGCACGAGCCCCTACAATTACCACCTGTTCTTCTTCTTAACGCTTTCTTAGCTGAGAAAACTATCAGCAAGTTCAATGACACCGCCGAGAGGTCGCCGACTTGTTTGACTCGCAGCCTACACATTCTGGAAGAAGGGGATTGCTAACCTGCCTACTAAGGCAGCGTTCAGACTTCGCGACGGCAGCGCTTCAGTCGCGCGTTCGACGCGATCGATGCAGTCGAAAGCATGCGCATCGATCGCGTCAAACGCGCGACCGAAGCGCTGCCGTCGCGAAGTCTGAACGCTGCCTAAGTGGAGCACCTAGTGGTAAAAGTGCCTGTTATATTGCTGATTAATATCTATTCTGCGTGGAGCCAGAAAATAAGAAAGAAAAAATCGCAACAAAGGCAATATGTTCTTTGCACATTCCTGTTACAAAATTGAGGTAATCGTATAGTTTTGCAAGCGGTTAGAACGCGTAATACGTAGGGTAATTTGTATTATTATATAAGCTTCCTTTTTTGAACGAGATGGCTTGATATTAGGAATTAGTGGCAACTTCCGAAGAGGGATGAACAACACCGAAAGTTTTATCTTTTTGTCCCTCACGGGAAAAAACTTTTCTCAGGCTATCGACGAACATTGAAAGAATTCTATTTATGAAACAACCACTTCATATAATACCAGAAAGTTTATTTTTTATGATTAGTAGCGTTTGACTTTGCTGTAACATTGAGTTGTTGTTGCTGAGTATTTTTACACGCAGACGATTCTCCATGGAGGTTTTTGTGAGCCGCCGTTCCCTGAAAGCATCAATATGAAATTTTTTAAGTCGAAGGTAAAGGTACTTCAGGTGTCACACCTTGCCTAGCCTTGCCACGTCTCTTCAAAGGCTGAGAATGGGTTTGCGCCCCGTCTGTCGCGGGGGAAGACGTGAACAAACACCTATGATGTGGCATAGTGGCCCCGTTTTTCTACTACTCGGTACTTCGACCTTACGCAGTACCCGTCACTGCCCTGACCACTATGCTCCCCCATCAGTACAGCCGATGACCTCACAACCAGTCGGGGCAGTTTCAAATGGGTCCCACGGCGTATTCACCATTGGTTGTTTTGTTCCTGAAGTTGATCCTCAACCGATCACAATTGACAGAGCGACGCAACCGGAGGTGACCCTCGCCCTCCTGGTACCGCCCCTACTGATTGCAAGTTTACCAACTGTACATACACTGTAGGATAGCCATTGATTTTGCGCGCCCAATCCGATCCTCTTCGCTCATACTCGGTTATAGCACGGTGAACTGTAAAGGTTCCAAGAGCTTCGGAATGAAAACGCACTTTTTTCACTTCTTTTGCATTTGGTCGTGTGGATTTCAGAGCTTTTTTGCTGCTGCCTATCCTCACTTTGACGCTCTTCTTCATTCTTGGAATTGAGGACTTGGATTTGTCGGATCTAGGCGTTGCGGCTTTAGATTTGTCGGATCCAGGCGTTGCGGCTTTGGCTTTGTCTGCTCCTAGGCGATGCGGCTTCGGGTTTCTTGGATTTGGGAGTTGAGGCCTTGGACTTCCCGGATCTGAGACTCGCAAGCTTCGATACTACGGATCCTGCCTTCAAAAATGCCGATCCCATTTTCTTTATCCGCACAGAAGGAGTTTCTCTTTCAACAGCATTTTCTTTTGTTGAGACATGTACCTGCGCCACATTTTCTTTGAGATGGTCTTCTTTGAGATGGTCTTCTTTGAAAAAGCTCATCCCAGCCAACTCCCTCTGTTCCTCCCGTTCATCCCCCTTCAGTCCATGTAACGTCCTCGCGTCCAGCCACGTTGCGTACGGTCAACTTTGAGTGAGGGAACCTCTTCGTAACACGCTTTCTGAAACTCAGAAAATTTTCTGTATGTTGAAAATCACCAGAGCCCTTGAACCGTATGCTTTCAGCATCAGTAGTACGATACCTATTGATTGACGTCTAGAACCAGGAAATGATTGTGTGGTGACCGCTGACCAGGGAAGTCCGCCAGAATTGAGTGAAAACAGCGATTGTGAGTGAGTGAAATAGAGTATGGCGCGATAGGAGCATGTTGTATAGTGTGAGACAGCGGTGCCAACATATTCCTATCCCAACTGCCATAGTCCTGGATTTTCCAACAACTTGCCACTTTTTCCAAGTTTTGCCAGTGTTCCCCCAGTAAACTGTTGTTGAACCGTGGATCGTTAAGCGCTAATTTCAATGGACAGAAACACGGCTGTCTAGTTTTCTTGCAGCGGCGTCAACTGGTGGGTGTTTTAGCAAGTGAAACGGAAAAGATCGTGAAAGATTTACAAAAGTAAAATTTTATCAAGACTCGGAAAACACCGAATACGACCTCATCCACCAGATACGACCCCTCCCAAGCGAGCAATTGTGAGCCCTACTAAGGTCTTCCCTATGTTGTTGCACCCCGCCTCGAATACGTTGGCCTTCCGCGAAGTAGCATCGCTGTCATCACTGCTTTGCTCCCCCCCCCACCCCCCATTAGTACAATCAGGATCCCTATAGACGATGCGACGGGGCGTGGATTGAGGGCTACTAAGACGCCTTTATCAGCAATGATGCCATCCTGAGTCTACAGCGATTTGTGGGGAAGACTGTTCTGGCTGCACTCCAATTCTCACGCCTTCGCACGCCCTGTCGTTTCCAGGGATTACGACTGTACACTGTAGGGACAACTTGAACTTAATCCCTCTGAACGCTCGATCTCAGTTTTTGTCTGCATTCCCTCGTTTGAATGTCACTCTACGGCAGGGCACATCGTTGTTGGGGAATCCCCAATAGGGGGGGGTCGTATTTGGCCGCCAGGAGAGGGGGGTCGTATTTGGGCTGGAAAAATTTATTTTGATAGTTGATTTTTCTCGCTTCATGGACGTTGTAAGGGGGGGGGGTCGTACTTGGTCATTTTTGGGAGGGGGGGGGTCGTATTTACGTTTTGGCGTTGTAGGAGTGGTGGTTTTTGTGATTTTCCTGTTTCGTGAGCTTCCGCTTCCCGCTCGACGTTCGAGTGAGGGGGGACAGAGGGCTGGAGCAAAAAAAGGGGAGGAAGGGCGTCGTACGGACTCTACTAAAATCTCCAACCAATGATGTGCCGTGCTCTGAGGTCATTATGTCCTCAGACGGTCCACTTTTCGCACACGATAAGTGGTTTACCCACCCCGGAGTCCCCTCCCTTTGAAAACCCCATAACCTGGCTCGCCAAATGTTTCTTGCACATTTCGATGTTTAGTCAGCGTTATCCTTCATCTGTCTGCGTCACAGGGTTTCGCAACAGGACCATCCCCAAAGTTCAAGATGTCACGTAACCCTGTAAGATAGTCATGATTCGGCGCGCATCCATTCCGACATCCCTTACCCACAAACCTGCTGCTAGCACAGTTGAATTGTGATTTTTTTTTTGAAGAAGCTCAAAGTGGAAACGCACTTCTTTCACTTCTTTTGCATTTGGTCCTGAAGATTTCATAGCTTTCTCGCTGCTGCCTGACCTCACCCTGACGCTTTTCTTCTTCGTTGGCGTTGAGGATTTGGACTTTCCTGATCCAGGAGCTGCTGCTTTGGAACTTTTGGATCTGGGAGCTGAAGCTTTGGGTTTTCCGGATTCGAGATTTGTAAGGTCCGATACCGCGGTTCCTGCCTTCGGAGATACCAATCCTATTTTCTTTTCCCGCGCAGGAGAAATTTGCCTTCCGACGGCATTTTCTTTTGTTGAGACAGATACCTGCATCTCATTCTCTTCGAAAAGGTCTTCTTGGGTTAAGTTCGTCCTAACCAACTCTCTTCGTTCCTCCCGATTATCTCCTTCAGTCCATGTAGCGTCCTCGTGTCCATCACGTTGTGTACGGTCAACATCGAGCGAGGGAGCCCCTTCGTAACTCGTTTTCTGGAACGCGGAAAATTATTATGTATGGTGATAACCGCTCAAGCCGGACCTATCATTGATTTGAACGCTTCTAGTTTCAGTGAATTCGATACTTTGATGCCTAGAACCTGGGGACGAATCAACGCTGACAAAACCCCATGAACATCCCTTTCGCCCAGGTTTCGAACATAGTAGCTGGCGACAACAGGCAATTCAAAATCGAACATAGTCATGAATGTCCACCATACAGGGTCTACATGAGGTCCGGTGCTTCGATCAACAGGTTCGAGTTAAGCAAACGCCGCGCGCGGCGGAGCGACAAATTACGAATCTCTTGCCCGTCTACCGGAGGCCTTTCGGGCGGGTTATTTCTGGTTTGTTCCTCAACTTTGTATTACATACCGCCTCGGCATCAGTATTTTACGTGCACAGCTTGAAATTTCTGGAAACGAGGCGTGCATTCTAGGCGTAGTCTATTGAACTCCGGGTCTGCGTACCTAACGCCTACGTGGTGGCAGCGACATAGGATTGCTTTGGTACCCAAGAAACCGGTGCAACCAGTGAATCAGACACTCCGAAAGC